CAAAACATGAAACAAAACTAAAACTAAACTAAAAGAGAAGCAAAAACAAAATTAAACAAAAAAAACAAAACCGATCTAAATCACAACTACAAATGCTCTGCTGTTTATTTCCGTCAGAAGACTACTCTATCTTCATCTTCCTCCCTTGTCTGCTTTTCTCGCTTTGTTCCTGCTGGACATTGTACTATTGATCTGAACCTCAGAGTGGGGAGGGGAGGAGATTTATTCTCCTATTAGAGGCTTTTGCTATGTGATGGCTGTAGATTAAAGGTCTGCTGCTGCCCAGAGCAACACTGTTACACCAACCTATTCATTAAACAACTGAATATTGAGTTAAGTCAGGGTTAGGCCAGCTCGGGCTGACACTTACTGAGAAATGGAGCGGAGAGGAGAGAAAAGGCATGGGCAAAAATCACATCCCTAATTCTTCTGATGTGGAAACCACTGCACACACCCATATACATGCACTCTAGTGTCAAATAACTGATATTACTTGATCTAGAAAATCTATAGTGTGCTGTATTATATGATCTCTGTGTGTCAAATTCACAGCAAGCTCTGAAACATTGTGCTTATTCCAAACCTAATGAAGCAACTCTGTAATTCAGCACGCTCCATGTCTCAACTCAAACCTGCCTCTACGGACAGGAAGGTAACTAACTTGACCAGATTCAATATCAGGATTTATTACTAAAATAAATTGGAGAAATATTGATGACTTATTTTGCACTAAACAGATTTTTGTCCAAACAAATGCTCTCCGGAACGACGGACAAGCCCTTTAACAAAACACAAAATACACAAAAGTCTCAAGTTCAAATACCAAAGAAATGTAATTCACTAAGAACCCGAGCACATTCACAGTTGTATGTCAGTTGTAGTGAAATTGACAGACGTGGCCTTTCAATATCTCTGGCGTCTGCATTTTTCCCATTTGTCCAAACTGGCTCATTTTTAACTAAGCTCAGGAAATGTCTCTCTTTTTAAAAAGCTTTTTACAGACCCTTACGGTGATGTCCTCTCCATCACTTCTGCCAAGGCAGCGTCTCATGGCTCTGTATGTCGCCCATTAAAAATATCATCCATACAGTGATGACTGTGTTTCCAGTAGGAGCTAAACAATCATTTAGCATGAAACTAAATCAAAGACTGCAAAGACACTCCACTGAGATTTTACCTTGAGCCAAGATAATAAAGGAATATAAATTATTTGGGGAAACCCAAAATGTTTTTTCTCTTTCTATGAGTGTATAAGTATATCTATAATATTTAATTTGTTTTTAGATTATAGGTAGATCAGCAGTATTAGAGCATTTTGTGCCACAAATGCCTACTAACAACAAACAATACAGTGGCTTCTAGCAATAAAAACCACTGTCAGTGTGAACGTGGCTTTACAGCTAATGGTGTTGGAACCATTATGATGCATCCACTTAAAAAAGGGAGTTAAATCTGCAGTGTCTCACAGGAATTGGATCAGAGCAGCAGTGGGCAGCAGACGTGGATGATCACAGTTGAAAAATATAAAAGAACAGAGCATGCCATTGTCTCAAGGCCTAACCGGGTTGCCTGAGGACAGCATGGGCCAGACTGCTGTTGTCGAGGTAACAGTGGCCAATGGTAATAACAGCACAATGTCTGGGTATGGGAATGGCGATGCCATTTAAAATGAATAAACTGTGAAAAAATAATCTTGTTTTGCTAATCTGCATAAAACAATGACTGTTAGACCAAGCAAAAGCCTCTGCCAACGGTTTATAATGCCTGTGAATATTACAAACATGCCAAAAAAGGGTAAGAGGTAGGGCTGCACGCTTAATCGAAAAACCAAAATCACAAAGGCTGCAATTTAATAAAATAAATATCTGTGCTGTGTGTTTTAGAGTGATTATTATCTAGCTCTATTTTGAAGTAAACGCTGCTCCACACAAACTCCATCTCTGCATCTGCTCTGAATTTGAGTCGCTTTAATATGCTTTTGGAAATGCAACATGTGCCAATCATCTTCCCATACTTCTAATTAGAAGTGCTTATGAACCAAAGAGATGCTTCAAAGGGGTCTTGAAATGCATTTTTAAATTATTTTATGTTTCCTGAGGTGCATTTATAATCTTAGTATGTTTATTTCATCAAAAATGGCTATAATGTAGAAAAAAATGGTTCTACCCTTAAATTAGCCCTCTGATTTGAACACTCTATTGGAAAGGTTGTGTCCGCTTTGAGATTGTAATGTACACTCCCACTGCTATGATTGGCTAACATATTTGCATATTAAAAGAGCATTACATTTGAAACTCTTTCAAAAACGTACTGCATTTTTACTACAACAGTCACCACTTTGTGAGAAAGAATGTCTGTGCATGAGCCCTTAGTGGTAATCCTAATTTGGCTAGGGCCCAGTCAGCAAATCAGTACTGGACAAACACCTCGTTAATATTCATAAGCCAGTCTGATAAGGTTTAAATGCATCTCCCACAGTTTCAGATCTCCAACTAAAATCTTGATCCCCAAACCCCATCTATATCCATTCTATGCTGTCGCTCTCTTCTTCATCTTTCTTTTAAAATGATCAGTCTGTCATACTCCTCCTAACTCCGTCCGCTTTTAATCCCTGCCCATCTCTGATTTATCTGTCAAGACCATTTTCAGAATGGCCATTATCTGCTCCATAAATCCACAGTCTCTGAAAGTGTAATTGGAAGCTTGACAAACATAAACTGTGGACTGAAATGTACCACAATATAAAGAGCAGGTGTTGGGAGTTCAGACACCTGGAGATAAACAATGCAATTGCACTACAGTTACAAATCTGACAGAAAAACATGGTCCCTTTTAAAGGGATAGATACCCAAAATGAAATTTTCATGCATAAAGACTCTTAAAAAAAAGATTTTTGTGTGTTCCTTGCAAAAAAATAAAAAATAAAAAAAATAATTGTAACAACATCGAGGTGAAATACTCACAGCCTGAGAGCAGCTTACATATAAAAATGTTACTACAAGCATTTTTACATAGTGTCAGTCACTGAGTATTACATGTGTGAAATGAGAACTGCCAATCGTCTCTGTGAAATTAATTTGCCACATTTAAATGTGTGCCTATCTTACAAGTCTATTACTATCAAGTAGAGACTTTTTACATTTAATTTGCTCTACTTCATCATCTTGGGCAGCACTTAGATAGCAGCTCTGCATCGGTGATCCAGACAGCAGGAGAGAGATTGCGCCTCAGCAGTGCACTGGCTCATAGCACAGTTTCACATAGGTATGCAAGTTAAAAATTTCCCTCTCGCCTCCTGAAGCACCAAGAAACACTGAACCATGAATATTTTACCACTTAAAAACTGAATTATAAGTGAGCAAGTAAAACTGAGCAACTTTTTCTTGCTGCATTTCATCACAAAAATCCCCTGAATTTTATTCACTAACCAATAGCAATTCCGCTTATCCAGACAACGTGCTGAAACAGCACAAATACTTCATATAAATTTGGGCTCATTATAGCTTGCACCTTATTCTCAAAACTTAGCACTGTGTGCCCAGTGCTATTAGCATTAAACTCTTACCAAAACAGAAATTAGGTAAAACCCAAACCTGCATTAAACCCATTATTGAATGCAGTATTACTTTCAATATCATAAACAGTGGTAATTATCTGGGGCATTCACAAAAAAAGCCTCCAGAGCATTACAAAAGTTAAATAAGAAAATGGCAAATATGAACCCAAGTTGACACTACCGTACAGTTTGTTGTAAGATTTTCAAAAAGTCTGTTATGCTCCCCAAGGTTGCACTGATTTGATCAAAAAAATACAGTAAAACAGTAATATTGTGAAATATTACAATTTAAAATAACAAAATGTAACATTTAAAATATTACTTTAATATATTTAACAATGTAATTTATTAATGTGACAACAAAGCTGAATTCATAGCAGCTATTACTCTAGTCTTCAGTGTCACGCAATCCTTCAGAAATCATTCAAATTTTTCCGATTTAGTGCTCATGAAACCTTCATTATTAATATCAATTTGGACATGTAGACAATGGTCTAAAACAAAAGAAAAAATAGAGGTTTCTCTGTTTCACTATTGGGAAAAAAAGAGAAAAGCAGTTAAGTTCACCTGTACTAAAAATCACTGCTGATTACAAAAACTCAGAAGAACTATGTAATTTCAGACTTTCAGCATTTCAGACTTTACTCAACAGAAAAAACCCTTATTTGGACAGGACTAGTTTTCCCTGAACAGGTCAGATAAATGTGTGTTTCTCAGACCAACTTCATTTTAATCCTTCCTGTCACACAACCTCGGTAAAAATTATAAAAACTAAACCAGGGGTCCCCTTGAGAAATTTAATCTTGTCCAGATAGGAATATCTGTAAGTACAATATATTTTTCACAACATCTCCCCTCATTTATTTTGACCTTTGTCAAATACCGTAGCTAAAGCCAAATCTTATTATTGTGCTACCTGGTGCACCTTCATTATAGATTTAGACCTTTTTGCTAACATTCTAGGTAAAATAACAGTTAAAATACTGTTGGCATCCCATCTGATGTAAAGATAATGAAATCCTCCCATTAATTACACACATAAGGTTTTAATTGTCTCACATATATACTTAATGTTTCAGGATTACCTTCTATAATACCCACATCCAAACAGACACTCCTATTCCCACCTAAAAAAAACTATAGACAATTGCAAACAGCGTATGTAATTTGAGGCATGTCACTCAAACATCATTTGGAAAAGGAATCCTGCACAAATAGTGCTAGAGCTCCAATATCTGAAAACTCTCAACTTTTTTTTTTTTAGGAGTACAAGATCGGCCAGAGGGCAATGTTTACACAGATACAGAAGGGGACCAGACTAGAACACTTTGTAACAGGCACTTTCACAAAGACACAAATCCGATCCCTTACTTTCCTGAAGACATGGAACACAAACATATACATCCATTTGAAACTGTTTCTCCCTCCCCAGCCGTGGACTCACCCGGTAAGAACGACCACAAAGTCCATTACGTTCCAGCCGTTGCGTAGGTAAGAGCCTTTGTGAAACACAAAGCCCAAGGCGATGATCTTAATGCCGGCCTCGAAACAGAATATTCCGATAAAGTAGGGCTCTGTGTCGTCCTGCAGGAAGAGAGAGCAAAAAGAAGGATAACTTGTTTTTGTGCGTTTGAAAGAAGAGAGCGCCTATTGATGCATGGAAGACAGACAGAAAGCAGAACAGTGAATATAGGTTGAAGCTTTTCGCTTTTTTGCACAACACACATAGAATAGGTCAAGATGCATGGATTTGCGCTGTGATGGGGAAGGCAGAGATCTGACATGATGTAAAATCACGCTCTATGTGATTGAAAAGATGTTATTATTAAACAGACTATCATTATATTATATATTTTTCCCCCAATAATAATATATTTAAAAATGTTTCAGATGCTGTTAGTACCAGAACATTACATCTCAGAGGAAAAAAGTCTCAAAATTCTGTGAAACTGGAAAAAAATACCAAGTATGTGTCATGGAATCTGTTAGATGAATATACTTAAAGAGATTCGGTCCTGGCTACAGCATGTCACATTGCTTTTGAACTCATTCCCATTAATGTCACCAGAGCCCTACGGCTCTATAGGCACTTACACCGGACTAACCTCTCCAGTGCTCTGCTCTCAGAAATCCCTCCCATTTTATGAGTGCAATTATCAACCCCACTTGCAAATAAGTCTTCTTATAGCCCTTTTTTGATGGAAACCTTGCCCTAGCAATATAATTCTTTACGACAGCTTTCAATAACAACAGCATGAAGCCGTTTTATGATTATAGCTTGGTACAGCAAGGAAAACACTGCAGTGTTAAAGCTCTCTACTTATCTGTAAAAATAACTGTGCCTTCAGTAATGCATTACATAATATTTCATTATCAAACACAAAAATAATTAAACCAACAAAAACTAAATTTGTGTTGAACACTCCCTTAAGGTGCTCAAAGTGAAATCACACTTTATTGGTGTATATTTTCTCAATAATAGTCTAATTATCGCTGTGGTGCTACACAGCACCCGTCGTGTTGTCTCTATGAAATCACTTGGCAAAAATGTGCTCGCGGGAGCAGATGTGAGGCTGTGCGTAACGGATGATTTATGGGAGCGGAGAAATGAGTGAGCGTGGCGGCATACAGCATATTTCAATCTATTATGTATAGATCCATAGTGTTTATTAATAATGATCATCCTGTCTGTAGTGTTTGGGTATCAGGGGCCCGGTTTAGCTCTGCAACAGGTAGGGAATTGGTTGCGTCATAGTGTTAACCAGACAAGCTGTTGATGAATTTGACAGGTTGAGGTTGAACCCTTGCTACGGGGAACAATGAAAATTGCAATAACTCTTAATTTAAGGACTGTCTCAGTGTTAGGGATGGGGAGTCGACTCCTCGACTCTGAATAGCTCTAGAGTCAGAGTCGACTCCATCACCGGAATCGATTCTCGTTGTACGTCGACTCCGAAATCACTATATCAGCTATAAAAGTATATCAGCAAAGAGTAAACAAAATTAAGCGTTTTGCAGTAAATAACCGTTTGCAGTGCAGTCCGTGTGAAGTGCGGAAGCAGCACGGGCTCATTTTGCTGTCACATGTTTGTAGTGAGCTATGATCTGCAGCTGTTTACCACCATTAATTTGATTTCAATTACGAACGTTACAAATTATATATATATTTTTTTGATAATCTTTTTACACAGTAATACAATCGTTCAAAGACATACTCACGTTGAAGCGCAATATATTAAAATAAATTCTGTATAGATTTATATGTTATTAAGATGCTTAAGCAAGTGGCAAAACGTAAACAGCCTGCAGTCTACTTTTCTTACATTAAAGGGGTCATATGATGTAGCTAAAAATAACGTTATTTTGTGTATTTGGTGAAATGAAATGTTTATGCGGTTTAAGGTTAAAAACACATTATTTTCCACATACTGTACATTATTGTTTCTCCTCTATGCCCCGCCTTTCTGAAACGTGTCGATTTTTACAAAGCTCATCGGTCTGAAAAGCGAGGTGTGCTCTGATTGGCCAGCTATCCAGTGCATTGTGATTGGCCGAATACCTCAAGCGTGTGACGGAAATGTTACGCCCCTTACCATATTGTGATGCCCTGTCCGGCCGGAGCAACGAGACAAAAACATGAAAACCCATTATAAACAAGGCATTTGTTGCATCCAGTGGGGACATAATTACAGATTATAATGACTTATACTGTCTTTTTACGCGTTGCGTTGCATCGCTAGAGTGAGCAGAGGCCGGAGGCCTAGAGTGAGCGGAGGCCGGCTTGTGAACGGCACAGCCGGTGGATTCGACGAAGGAGCATCCGGCGGGCTTGCGGCAACCACATGTGACGACCCCGGGCTGGACTCCGCTTCGTCCACGGTGAAAGCTGATCCGGCGACCTTTTTTATTACCTCAGCGACCAGCACCAGTCAGCTCCAGGCATGACAAAGCCGATATCGTCCTCTTTTGGAAGGCCAAACAAAGTAGTTTCGCTTTCACAACGAACCACACAGCGCCTTCACAACATGGCGGCGGCAACAACAATGCTACAGCGAGAATAAAAGTTATGCCGCCTTTCTGTTTTCGTGAACATTTGGGCGGCGTTATACAAATCTTCCGTAGACGTAGACATGTGGGGGGGGCGTGTTAGAACGAGCCGTTTTAGGTAGGTGTGGCTGACTCTTAACTTTTATAAAGAATATCTCTTTGGATTTGAGTCTTTGCAACTTTACAGATCTTCTTTATGCAACATGGCGGCGGCAACAACAATGCTACAGCGAGAATAAAAGTTATGCCGCCTTTCTGTTTTCATGAACATTTGGGCGGCGTTATACAAATCTTCCGTAGACGTAGACATGTGGGGGGGCGTGTTAGAACGAGCCGTTTTAGGTAGGTGTGGCTGACTCTTAACTTTTATAAAGAATATCTCTTTGGATTTGAGACTTTAGTCTTTGCAACTTTACAGATCTTCTTTATGTACCAAGAGCTTGTAACACTCCAAAGAGAAAGGAAAAATTGAAATCGCATCATATGATTCCTTTAAAAGGTAGTAGGCTATCACAAACAATTTAAATTAAAACTTACCATTGACAGAAACAGCCGTATCATGCATTTTCTTTTGCATCATTATTACAATTCTGCTGGTCATAAAGAACTTTGTTTTTCTAACTCCACGAGTGCCATCTGTTGCCATTTTTATACTTTTTCCTTGCTTTACCCCTGTAGCTAAAAAGCAGTGTTAAAAAAAATAAACTTTAGGCCTACTTATTTGCATTTATAGTGTATTTAATACATTTCGTATCAATCCATGTTTATTTTTATTGTAAGCAATGCGCTGTCACGTTAATTCAGCGTGTGCAGCACAGCGAAAATAGACTCGGATGCTGAATCTCTTGGTAAATGATTACTGTGATGATAAACAAGAATAAACAAATCAATATGTTTATATTCGTATGTATTTTTGAATGCATTGCATTTATTTTTAATATCAATGCTTCTTAAGACATACAGCACCATCCCCTGACCATTGTAATGTGATGAATTCATTAAAGACCACTTTATTAATCCTGACATAATATTCCACCAAGGCTTTTCCACCTCAGTTTTCCCTCTGTAAAATTAGGTGTCGGCAACAGCTAACAACATTGATGATAGCTATTTAAAGGTAGTGTCACCACCACTAAATTGGACTAATTTGGACAGTCACGCTAAATGGAGTCGAGGAGTCGATTCCATCGACTCCTATGGTGAGAGTCGGGAGTCGGAGTCGACTCAGAAAAACTTGGAATCGAACACCCCTACTCTGTCTCAAATCACAGAGAGGTCCTTAAAAGAACAGTTCACCCAGTATGGATATTCTGTCCTTATTTATTCACCCTTGTAATGTTATTTCAAACCCATATAACTCCCTCACATGGAAATGTGTAAAAATTTCCATGGTGCTCTTTTCCACAGAATTGTTGTGGAAAAACACCTAGAAAGCGGTGATTCATATGCTTTGTGGCATATATTCCAGGTTTTCTTATGTAATATGCTTTATGGGAAGAGCAGACCAAATTTAAGTGAGAATCATCCCCTTTAATGTCATTCCAAATATTCATTTTTTTTAATATTCCACACACATATGTGCATGTATACATATTTGTATATGAGTTTAGCAAGATTTTTTTTTTTTTTTTTTAGAAATTATTACTTTTATTCAGAAAGGATGCATTGAACTCATTAAAATGACAGTAATTACTTTTATATTGATTTCTATTTCAAATAAATGTAGTTTCCCACAAATATTAAGCAGCACAACCATTTTTATTGATAATAATAAATGTTTCAAATAAGCATTATTTATTTAGTTAGTTAGTTAGAAGGTGAAGGGTGATCAGTGCCAATAGCCTCCATATATAGCATCGTTGCGCTTCGAGCGTCCCGAGTTCAAGTCCCAGCTCAAGGACCTTTCCCAATCCCACCCCCCTCTCTCTCCCAATTTGTTTCCTGTCTAATTACGGTCCTATCATAATAAAGTAAAAATGGCAAAAATAAATCTTAAAAAAAGGTGAAGGGTGAAATAAATTTGTTAGGGAACAAAATAAAAAAATAAATAAATTCATCATGAAAAAGCACATCATAAAAATACTTTTTGTGTTCCATAATCCATAAACCCTGTAAAACTACACAACAAGAATGAAAAGTTGTATTTTTAGCATCAGGGAGTTGTTTTCGAGAGGACCCCATTGACCGTATAGGCACATGGTGTTCCTTTCTGTGATTGCAGCGCTCCTCCAGGGAGTGTGGAATCCAACATCACCGCCTGCATATTCAGCTTCACAAAGAGGCCATTACCGCCTTAAGCCGCCAACATGTCCACTTCTTAGTTTAATTGTGCAACAGCACACTTTGAAGCCGCTTCCTTATATAATTTTGACTCAACAGGCACAACTGCCATTGCAAGCGGGAGAATAAGAGCAAGGCAGTGGATCAAAGCTTGCTCTGCATGGGTTAAGGTCGGATCATGGAGAAGCAGCGTTATGCACACATTCGTCAATGGTTCCCAGCAGGCAGGGTTTTAATGAGACAGAGACGTGGCTCCTGTGTGGAGTGCTTGGGTGGTTCTCAGTGGCCCTGGTTGGGAGCTTTGAGAGTGGGATAACAGCTTGCGCTCCAATGGGCTCACCGATCACCCACGCCATCCAGTGCAAGACCGCTAAAATGATCAATCAATATACTCCAGTGGGGATCTCGGGTGTGTGGGCGGAAAGAAAAGCAAGCCAAATACACAGTTATCTCTCACTTGCTCTGCTTTTCGCAGAATGCATTGTCATTGCGGTTTCTCTCTCCTGAGAGATATGGTTGCAGTCTTATTCAGTAAAAAATTAATAATCTGATATGTGATAGACATGTGAAACCTTAATAATCAACAGTGAATGACGAGAAAATAGAGAATTCTGATGCTTACCAGGCGTTCAGACATGGGGGTCTTGTCCATGGCGGGGAGATGCTGTTCGAGGGCCAGTACGATGCAGTTGGCGATGATGGTAGTGAGGATCAGGTACTCAAATGGAGTGGAAGAGTCAAGGAAAAACACCGGAATAACAATACAAACAACAAACATAATTTCAAAAACATTATGAAGAGGAAAACTGTGCAAAAAAAGTGCATGAAATATCAATAGAAATATCAATAGCCCAATGTAAATTTGACCGGAATTGTGCTGATATGTGCTTTAAAATACTGACTTAAAGGGACAGAGCACCAAAAAAGATCATTATTCATCCTAATGTCATTCCAAACCTGACATTTAAAAAAAATATTTTAGTGTTTTTATTCCATGCAATGATAGCGTGCAGCAGTCATGACGTCAAAACCCACAATAATTTACCATGGGTTTCCTATAATAGGGGTTTTCAATTCATAAATAAAGTAAGGTCTGTGGTAAACATAACCTGACGATACTTGAACATTTTATTGTACACTGTAAACTGCACACACTCACACCCCAAGTGTTCTTTTGTAGTTAGTTATACATTTTTACAGTAAAAACAAACATACATTTTTAAAAACGTAATAACTTCGTTTTCAGTATGGATTGTGCAATTTACATTGTAGAGCAAAACATTCAAATATCGTCAATTTATATATCAGACCTGGTTTTACTCATGAACTGAAAAAAACCCATTATAAAAACCCATCTGAAAATTTCAAGGGAACCCATGGCAAATTAGTCTTTCCAGTTTTGACATCATAGCAGCATCACTCTATGGGGTCATACAGTATGTTGTTCATCGACTTTCTAAATATCATCTTTTGTGCAATATCAGCTTTTAGTTGCTCATCAAACCAACTAGCAGTAATACTGATTGCATTTACACCACCTCGCTCTATGCTGGAAATGACATGCAGAGGTCTGGGCATAAAAGTGAGACATGCTTTCCAGACTGGAACATTGCAGTGCAGAGATCATGATTACCCATTAGACTGGCACGATGCTTTCTCTCTCAGCACAGCCATTTGTGCAACCTTATTGCATCTGTGAAATGGTTGTGTAAGCCCACCAATATTGTCATTATTAAAATCTTTTTCATCCTTTTTAAAGGAAACACTGAAAGGCTGCTAACATCTTTATAGATGGTCGGCCATTATAGTGCATTCGTAGGACAGGATCCATTTTTCCAATTCATTTTCCATGCCTGTTCCCTACAGCTATAGGTCTTTACGCAATCGCTATTCATGGAGGCAACGAATTGGAAAGGAAAGGTCCAATGGCCACTTCAATCACATTCTTGTCACCCCCTTGAGGGATCTCCACATGCTATAGAAACCTAATTCTATGAATGCCTGAATTCCATAAAGATGCATTTTAAATGGACTGTACAACAAACTAGACGAAATTATCACAAATGAAGGCTGCACAGTGCTTTAAAATGCTAGTAAAGATTTCAGGACCCTGGAGAGCGCTACAGCTTTTCACAACCATTGTGTTATAAAATGAAAAATTACCTGGGTTCATACATTTGTTCTTGAAGAAAAATTTGCTAATGAATATACTAATGGTGAATATGCTAATAAACTAAAAAAATGTTTGCAGAACTTTTATTATTATTACTACTACCCCAATAGTAATAGTAGGCTAACGTTAGTTAGTAGTGAAGGCAACTGTTTGACATTGCCATTACTGTTGCCGCCAAAACATTTCGAAAACAACGTAACCGTTAGTATTTGCCCATTTATAAGGCAAATAACACTGGAAAAATACAACACTCGACCTGCAACTGCTTGTCAGTCTTTGTAAACGCACAACCGCTCTGAAACACAGCAAACACAGTAGTGAATCTTCATCGTTTGACGTTTTAACCGGTTAGATACTGAAACTAACAGCGCGTGAAAGTTTCTGTGAAACTTTCAAAACACATGAATATTCAATGAGGAAGCGCTGTGCCAATTTATGATTGGTTGTCTGTTGCTAATCAATTAGCCGTAACGTCCTTACGCCGCTTGGTTCACACTGTATACATACATTTGGCGGTGCCAAAACCCCTTTTAAAACGTTGCTTACCCGATGGTTAAAACTAGTCTGTAAGCCAGGTTTAAGAAAAAAAAACCTTAGCCCAGGGTTAAGTGCAGTATGAAAAGCCCTATCGAGCGCTTGACTTTCCCACATTTGAATTAGAAAATAAAAGGCTGATCAGCCAACACCCTGACACGACCACCAGCTGCCAAATGCCTTAAAGTGCGTGAACAGGTGAAAACAAAAGTCATTTCAGTATCAATCACAATTTCGGCACGCAACAGTTCATTTGACATTGCCAGATCTAAAAGCGTGTATTTATATGCTTTCTAAACAAGAATGAGATCATATGTAGAAGTGGAGATGCCATGAATCTATATCCATTTTGCATAAATCTTGAGGATTAAGGATATGGCCATTCGGTTATTCTTTTGGCGTATTTCCTGAAGACATTGTCCTCACTGAAGATGAACAAAGAGCGGTTGACAGTGAAGCAGTTCTGTTTGGTTTGTTTAGGATTATATAAAGCCATTGTCCTGGCTCTCTGAGCCATCGACTGTTTGTACATTCTTTGACCGCCCGAGGGACCTCCTGCCCGGGCTCCCCCTCTCCCGGCGCCCGCTGGACCTCCATAGCGGGTGGGCAGATCGTCTCCAAAGCGAGCCATCCTAGAGATGCAGATATCCAACAGGTCAAATCCAAACTGGCATTAAACAGATGATGAAGAGTGCACATTACAGTACAGACATCTGTTACCACTTAGAGTCCCCATCAGTCTATGTGAAGTGAAATAAAAATATAAAAGTCCCTTTTAACCAGCTCCCAGTGCGCCTTCGCCTCACTCCATTGCTCAGAAAATTGCACAAAATAGAAACTTGTCATAGAAATGTCATTCCCGTTGAGTGCATTTCAAACAAAGGAAAATGTGTAACCATCCAATTCGTGCCACATCCATCCAACAACACAACCTGATCCAGCTGACAGGTCACGAAACCAAAATGTGCACCATCACTTACGCGTCACGCTAGACGGTAAAAGCGAGTTGGTGGAATCAAAAGCGCGAATTAAGGTATTCCAGATGCACGCGCAAACGTTTGTTCTCTTTAGCAATGGTTTGCTTTCCGCTTCCACACAACAATTGCACTTGGAGACGCGCACGGTACGAATGGTGCCAAATGAGTGGACGCTGGTGCGCGAGACTCTCACACGTGACGCAAACGGCCCTATAGGCAGGACCACCTGCTGGAGAGCGCGTGAGGGGGAGGGTGTCTTAATTGATCATCAATGAATGATATTTATTTAAAACTGTTTGTCGTGTTGTTTGAATAGCGTCCATTTGATCAGAATGAAGGAAAAGCGCCAAGCAAAAGCTCTTCATTGTTACTACATTTAAATCCTAAAAGATTTTTTACTTTAGCACATACAAATCTTCAATAAGTGGCATCATTACACAAAAGCACAAGCGATTTGTTGGTTGCCTATTGTTGACATGTCAGTAAATTATCAAGCTGCATCTGTGAGGGGGAGGGTGTCTTAATTGATCATCAATGAATGATATTTAAAACTGTTTGTCGTGTTGTTTGAATAGCGTCCATTTGATCAGAATGAAGGAAAAGCGCCAAGCAAAAGCTCTTCATTGTTACTACATTTAAATCCTAAAAGATTTTTGACTTTAGCACATACAAATCTTCAATAAGTGGCATCATTACACAAAAGCATAAGCGATTTGTTGGTTGCCTATTGTTGACATGTCAGTAAATTATCAAGCTGCATCGTGTGCCTTTGTTTAGTTATTGTAATGCATAATATTCTCGGTCGCATATACACATTTTCATAGTTTTGAAGGTTAAGGGGAAAAATGAATAAGACATATTCAAGATAAGCAAATTTGATATTAATCACAACTACAAGGTCACATTTTGAAATATGCTCCTTGTATCAGATTCAAATCATGTTGTATAATACATCATTATGCAATAAGCCATTATATATTTATATTATTATTATATATTAGATACAATATTTTTTGGTGTTGTTTTTATATTTAGCTAATTATATTGAAACCTTTTTAGGTTTAGTTTGAAATCTTACTTAAAACATTACAGTTAGAATTACAATGAATTAAAACATTCAATTAGCTGATCTTAATATTTGGTCTCCACAAAACGTGACTCCACCCAGGGCATCTCCACCTCTCCAAAGAAGGAAAGATTCTTGAAAGAAAAGTATCCAGCATGTCCAGATGTGACGCTCAAGGCATTACGGTCAGTAAGTGTGAAGGATTTTCTGTGTGCATGCAGCCAGTCCAAACCCTGAGGCACAAAATCTCATGGCAGACTCTAGGCTGTTGAGCTAATCTCTGGATGTGTGGCATACCAGAGCTCCATCCTACAACACCCTAGGGCACCACAGTGGAAAGGATTCAAGACATGCACACACACGCTGCCAAGTGGAAGATACTGTACAAGGGAAATCAGTTTTCAATCGCAGGACTGTTCTTGGATCTCTGTATCTTTCAAGAATATTTTCCTGTTGACATGATAACATCAGCATTATGATGTTCTCCTTTTTACACTACACTGGTCCCAAAAATTATTTGGATACTTAATCCATATTTTAAGGTCTGTAAATATCACATAGCATTTATGGTAACACTTTAGTATAGGAACCAGTTCTCACTTTTAAACTGTTGCTTATTAGCATGTCTATTAACATATTTGCTATTTATTAGTACTTCTAAAGCACATATTATGCATGACCATATTCTACATCTCTAATCCTACCCAACACCTGAACTTAACAACTACCTTACTATTAATAAGCAGCAAATTAGGAATTTATCGAGGCAAAAGTCATAGTTAATGGTTTATTAATAGCGAGAATTGAACCTTAAAATAAAGTGTGACCGCATTAACTATTAAATTAATTAATTCAAATACACACACACATATATATATATATATATATATATACACACACATACATACACACACACACACACCAAAGTTATGCTCACCACAGTTGCATTTATTTGATCAAAAGTAAAAACATTAATATTGTGAAATATTATATACCAATTTAAATGTTTTAAAATGTAATTTCTTCTTTTGATGACAAAGCTTAATTTATAAATTATGTATTTGTCTGATGTTTGTCTGATTGTTGGTCTGTTGCATTTCTATTGTACATCATAGCTTAATAGTACAAGTTGCTGTTTATATTCATACATTGATTTAAATACAAAAATGTATTTTTTCATTGTATTTTCATTGTATGCAGTAATTCTTTAGTAATAAAAAATAAATTATTGTTATTAATAACATTGAGAAAAATAGGAATGAAAAAAAAATTGTCGTTTTTGGAATTTGAAATTTATGCAAGCCTGTTTCGCCACAGGATGAAAATGAGCACATTTCAGACTTTTCTTCTCATAATTATGAGGTTATATCTCAATTCAGAATGTTTATCCTCAGAATTGAGACCATAAATGCAGAATAATTGAGAGATAGAAAGTCACAATTACTTTTTTAATTGTTTATCCTTTTTGTGAGATGTAAACCAAGAATTAAGAGAAAATAGCCAGAATAGAATTTGACATTTTGAGGTGTAAACTCTGATATTGTGGGATGTAAACTCTGAATTGCAAGTAAAAAAAAGTCAGAATTGTGATAAAAAAGGTTGGAATTACCTTTTTTATTTATTCTGTTATCCCGTTGCGGAAACAAGCTTCCATAGTAATGGAACATGGACATGTTTTTGTGAGATTCGCCCACAAAAAGACATTCAGTCTCAGCTCATCATTTAATGTCACTAAACCTAAATGCCACTAAATGTCACTAAAGCAAGTCATTTACATCATCATCTATCATTAAAATAAGTGAAGAGTTCACTGTGATAGAGATGAATAACAATCCACAACCCAGTTAATGACACAGCAACCTCGAAAGACAAACCCAAAGAAAATCCTACCATAGATAACAGTGGATTTTCTCTCTTTCCAGTCCGAGTTACGCTGTGCTGATCTCATCATGGCCCTGTCTACTTGTTAACCTCGTGCAGCTCTAGGAATTTTCACGATCCGGTTTCTCAGCCATAACACAGTGTATCCACAATGCGTGATCCTCATAATCGTGCTGACCGCTGTAAGAGTGAGACATACTCAGATTTTAAAGTTTGCAGCTGTGGAATGCGGAAAGGCGCATGTTTCCTGTCTCATTAGTTAAAAGCCTTTATCGCCAAGTCAGAGGGCCTCAATCATCAGCTCACAGTTCATTGGATCATTTACAACCAAGTAACTCAAGTAATCAGGAAGAGAGTAATCAAAGTTTATAAAACTAAAAAAAAAACACTTCTTGATAAATAATCAAAAGGCTTCCTGCTTTGCATCACAAAACTCCTTTGGTCTCATTTATGGCCACATGGGTTTAAAGTGTAAAAAAAAAAAAGTGACTGATCTGCTTCCTCAAAGAAGTGTTATGGGATGATGTTCATGTCAGATTTGCATCGTCCTTGGTTATTTTTGCATAATAGTGACAGAGATGTTTCTCTTTTATTAGTAGTAAATTTATTGAAAAAGAAAAACACAACCAGTAAGATTGTGCATCATGTTTCACTGTCCAGAAATATGTTACAGTTTTCTCCCCCCCCCCCCCCCCCAGTTTGCAGTGTTTTGTTTCTCTATGTCTGGATTTGCACAAAGGACATGACTACACTATCAACACTTAAAAAGACTGTAATAGTTTCACCATCAACATGAACTTATGGAACAAAATTGATACAGGCTATGTCAAACTACAGTTAGAAAAAACAGAGGCCAATTTAAAAATACAAATGAAAAAAAAAAAGAAACACTTGCTTCTTCATCGTTTTTTTACAAAATGTATTCACTTAGTGAGTAATAAAAAAATAAACATAACAAAAACCTTTTTCAGCACCATTTGCGTTTTCCTACACCCGACCGCATTTCATTCCACCAGAGCGAAACGTTCCAGTCCTATTCCAAGAGCACGGGTCTCAAAAGCATGCTAATAGGTTCCATCATTGTGACCAAAAGTACATACAGAAATATTTTACAGTTTTCATTTGCATTGATGGGGGTGCAAGTAATATGCATTTAACAACCGCCGTGTCTATCCAGGCCTGTAACATGCAGGAAATAACCCATAGGGCTTGTTTTTAGACTCGTACAGGATTAATTTGCACTTCCAGTGGCGATTCGCCATTAAAACGCATTTATACTCAAGAACTGGGCTGAATATATAGGCCAAAAATGTCCTGTTCAGAGGCCTTTTCATGATTTTGGTAGCACTGACATGACGTCCTGCGTCTGTGAACCAATCAGAGGACGCGCGCTAACGTCCAATGACTGCTAGCCTACAGCTCATCCCAAGTTAATACAGCCCACTGAAGGACTCCGAAAGGGCTAGTGGGAAAGAAAAAACAGAAGAGGTTGGTCTTTGAATACCTTTACATCATTTTCTGCATATTCCGTGAATGTACAAAAACTCAAATCAGAAGAAAAGTGAAACAAACAGATGCATAAATGAACATTATTTGAAACTCATTTTGGATTTGGGAATCGATCGTTCAGTTTTTGCTGACCTTGACTGGTAAAGTAAAACTTCGAAGAATACAGTTCATAAAAGATGACAAGAAATGACGCAGAAGATCGAGTCGGGCAGGAGAACACATTGTGCGACAAGAATTAGGTAGTTTTCAAAGGAAGCCTGTTGCAAAACCCATTAATTTCCATTAAAAGAGAAAAAAAAACTCCACTTTGAGCTCTTTTGAAGATGTCAAACAAGATTGTGGTCCAAAGGGGCTGCCTGACAATAAAAACCTATACAAAATGTGCATACCGAACACCTGAAAAACCAGTTGTGCACCTCTCACCTTCAAGACTTTAAACCCCTAAACTGCTTCAACCAATCAGGCTTTCAGACCACCAGAGCTAAGCATGGCACTGTGGGTGTAGCATCAAGTGGCCCGGGTTGGTAACCGGAGCTGATTAGAGATGGCAGAGGTGTGCCTGTGCTGGTGATGGGAGGTGACAGGCTGGTAGAAGTAGGAGAACTGGATGTTTTATGCTAGAAAGATGGGCTTAGCTGGGGCTGGATGGGGTGGACGAGCTAGTATCGGGCAGGGCGCTGGGCTGCTGGTCTCCTGGAGTACTGTCTGCCTGTCTCTGGGCGATGGTGGCACCTGAGTGCTTGCATTTGGATGAGCCACACTGGCAGCTGAACAGCTTCCCTTTTACGTCCCAGAAGTGACGACCATAATCAAACCTGAGAAAGGGAGAGAAGTTCTCATTTTCTGTTCTAATAAAAAATAAATGAGCATCAACGAATGCTTTTGTGAAGTGCATGATGGAGACTAACATATGGAGTCAATCTAAATTGAGAATTAGCAAGTAAATGGATAATAATGTGAATCAGACCCAAGTTCGTCTCCGGCACTGATGTTCTTGCAGGCGAAGAACGCGATGTGAGGAAATCTGAGGTCCTGGTGAGAGGTGAACACTCGACAGGGGAACAGATTCGGCTCACAGTGATGGTTTATGAAGCGGCTAATGTTGCCGTAGAAACGTGCATCAACGCAGTACATATCACCCACCTGCAACAGCAGCAACAGAAAATAAATTGAGGAGTTTGTAGAGTGATGTCAGACTGAAGAGAATGGGAAGTGAGATTTATTCAGCAGTGCTCAACAATAAAAATGTAAAGAAAAACAATGATATATAATATTTTTGGTAAAATTGGTATGAAAAAACAACAACAAAACAAAACATAATATTGTGAAATATTATTACAATTTAAAAGAACTCTTTTCTGTTTCAATATATCATAAATTGTAATTTATTCCTGTAATGGTAAAGCTGAATTTATAGCAGCCAGTCTCCAGTGTTACATGATCAGTCAGAAATCATTCTAATATGCTGATTTGGTGCTCAAATAACATTTCTTATGTTTTTTTAGGATTCTTTAATGAACAGAAAGTTTATTTGAAACAGCATGTATTTGAAATAATAAAAAAATAAAGTCCCTTTTCATCAATTTAATGCATCCATTTGGAATTTAAGTAATTAATATCAGTGTCATTTAATAATAAGTATTAATATTATTATATATAATCTATCTATCTATCAATCACATATATACATATATTACACACTACCTGGTACAGTACCAGTCAAAAGTTTTTGAACATTAAGATTTTGGTAACACTTTACAATAAGGTTCATTAGTTAATGTATTAACTAACATGAACTAACAATGAGCAATACATTTGTTACTGTATTTACTAATCTACGCTAACGTTAGTTAATAAAAATACAGATGTTCATTGTTAGTTCACAGTGCATTAACTAATGTTAACAAGATTTTAATAATGTATTAGTAAATGTTGAAATTAACATTAACAAAGATTAATAAACGCTGTATAAGTGCAGTTCATTATTAGTTCATGTTAACTAATGTAGTTAATTAATGAAACTTATTGTAAAGTGTTACCGAGATTTTTAATGTTTTTTTTTTAAATAATTCTCTTCTGCTCAACAAGCCTGCATTTATTTGATCCAAAATACAGCAAAATAAATATTTTTACTATTTAAAATAACTGCTTTCTATTTGAATATATCTTAAAATGTAATTTATTCCTGTGATCAAAGCTAAATTTTCAGCATCATTACTCCAGTCTTCAGTCACGTGATCGTTCAGAAATCAGAATAAGCACTGCAGCCCAGATTTTATGCCAAGAGTCCAACATCTGTCTTTGCAAGACTATTGAAGGTCTAAAATACTATTACCAAAAGTATCATGGTACAGCCAAATAAATCATTATTCTGTGCTGACCAGGGTCATCTAAAGGATATATATAGGTGAAATTTGCTTCAGATAATCAGATAATTTGCTTTGCAGGTAATCCACTACTGACAGGAGCAGACAGGAAAGGTAATGTGGGGAGTCATCCTAAAATGGCGATACCTTACTGTCCAGACTAAAAAGATAGGAGTCATTCTCTCTGACATCTGCTTCGGTGTCAGAAATGATCTCACCCACGTATCTGTTGGAAGGAAATGAGACATTAGGGTACAAACACACTAAGCACACAAACATATCCATACATACACACCTAAACAAACATCTGCACAGACACACACACAGTTAGACTGAGACAGGAAGATATAACACAGGCCTCAATGACCTTTAGAAACATCATAAGAAACTCACTCGCAAACAAACGTTCCTTGCGGGATATCCTGTAACGTCTTGACACCCCATCCCATCATCTGCGTCCTGAACAACTGCAGTCTTATCCTAAGAAATAATTTAAGAGGATACCACTCAATCCAGATCATATACAGTACTACAATACAATTAATATATGAAGTATATATGAATACTAAAGGGTTGGGTCAGACTGATTTTTTAACTATTTTGCATTATTTTTGGAGTGCACATTTCCAGTTTAAAATATTACTCATTTTTAGTCAAATATTCCTGAATTTTTTGTAAAATAAACTTCGGGATTTTGTGTTCATTTTATATATATATAATATATAATATCAACTATCAGTCACCCTGCCTATTCTCTAGATAAGGAGTTTACAAACTAAAATCTATATCTCCAGGGAGCTGCAAAGGTACACCAAAATATGATTAGGAAAACATTTTTTTTAAGGGATGACAAACTTTAAATACACAAGAATGAATATCATGAGATTAACTGCAGTTATTTTATTGACACATCTCGTTTTTAATGAAAAAATAAAATCTACATAAAGAAAAACCTAATAAAAAGAAAAACCACCACACTGATGTCACATTTTAATACATGTGTTAATATTGTTTAATTTGACAGCTGTTGAAAAGGGGGTTTAATCATCCAAAATGTATGTGGAAGTGAGGTACCTCAGTCCGTTCTGTACCACACGGTTTTTGCAGGTTCTCCAGCAGGAGCAGGCATGGTTGCACTCAAATATAAGAGGTGGCTCCTCATTGCAGAACTCAGGCAGCAGACGGCTCTCCTGACACCACAAACACAAAGCATTTGAACTCTAATACTAAAAAACATATTGCAACAAAATAAAAAAAAATAAAAAATAAAAAAGTCAGTATTGCTCTGCATTCATAAGTTGCCACCATGATGCTAATTATTTTGAGTGGTTTTCATGGCATTGTTATGCAGTTTCTAGTGTGTTCTGGGTGGTTTCTACATAGCTACTTACTGGCCTAAAACAAAAAAGTCTTTATGATGTTATTGTTCATAGATAATGCTCAGGTCGCCTATTATTTTTCTGTTTTATTGCTTAGACAAAGATATTAATATTATGGTAAGGTAGTTTAATACTTAAAATATAATTAACAAACACCTACCTCTAAAGTGTGGGCTTTAGTAATAGTGATATTTGATTTAGCGACACTAATAATTTTGCCTAGACCATCTCACACTGTCTTGTATTTAGCTAGTTCCACCTCTAGGTGGAGATGTTTGCCAAATCAAATGATATTAACAACAGGTTAGAGCTAGTAATTCATGTAACTGTGCTTCAGAATTACCAAAATTTACACATATAACATCCCTAACAGCTTAGTTATTAGATTCTAAGAATGGAAGTGCTCAGATATTGACTTACTTTATCATACCAGCAGCGCAGGCTGAGTTGGCCACACATGCAGCTAGCAGAGGAGCAATCGTCTTTACAGACGCAGTACTGTGGAATGAAATAACACCGTTATACATCTTCTTCCTTAGTTTAAAGGAATACATTACTCATTTAAAGTTTTGTCTTCGCTAACCAGCCAACTCATATTTGTCTACATTGCTAAAACAATTAATCAATGAGAATTGAAAAGTGTTACAATAAAAAAAAATACTTCCGCTTGTTTACCTGCAAGTGGGTGATATTTTTGTCAATGTTCATCGGGGATGTCACACAGCTATCAGGGACATATTTGTAGTTGTCAGGACAGGGTTCGCTATCCACTGCATTCACACACGGGATGGGGACTTTCTCGTAGCCTCTGGCGATGTCCCTAAACATAATTACACAGTCATTTATAGACTAATTTAGGACTTAGTTCTGGTGTAGACAGTGAGATATGAATTAAGTGAATCTACCTGTTGAGAAGCTTCTCTACTGGGTCAGTCTGGTTGCTGTTAGCTTCTCTCTGCTTTTTGCTGGCTTGAAGGGCATTCCAAACCTTCGAGTTCTGGCTGCAGCAATCCATGGGCGTCTCTCCCTCTTTGTTCTTGAGGCTTATGTCAGCACCACGCGACAGAAACAAGCTACAAAAGATGCATTCTTGAAGGTTAGGACAAACAAAACGAAAAAAACTATTTTTATTATTATTACCACTACTTAGGGGTGAGCGATATGATCACAAAATGAGTAATTTTATTTTACGGTAACGATATATAGCACAATATAGTATATATATTTTTTATCAAAAAACATTTTTGATAAAAAAAATTCTAGTCACTATTGTCAATATCACAAAACACTAATACTAATACTTTAATTTTCTAAATTAAAAAAGAAAAAAGAAGAAAAAAAAACAAGCTCAGTGAAGACAAAACAGTGATTAAATAAGAATAAGAAACTTATTACAAGCAATAGGACAAAAAAATTACAGTAGAATAATAAATGCTACAAACATTGATTATATAAAGTAATCAAATGTATAAAAACACTGCATATTCTTTACTGTGTAGACTAAATACAAATTTCTTCTAATTAAAGTTACAAGTGACTTAGTCAAAAGTACTGAAAGATTTTATCTCTTTGAAAAAGGCCTCCTGTAGCGAATCTATGCGTTTTTCTAAGAAAAATATCCATATTTCAAATGTAATAAACACTTTTCTATCACTTCCGCCATCTGTCATACGTGGAAGCAGTTCGGGACGTCGGCGTTGCGTGATAAGTGACGAACGCGGAGAGAGAACAAAACAAAAGTACAAACTGAGGATTTGTAAAGAAAAATGTCGGATATAAGCCAAGAGGAGACTTTGCTAATGTAAGAAAACTTTGCTTCTTTTGCTCCTGTAAACAAACTCGTGAGACTAGCATATCTCAGAGCCTACGTCATCTGTCGGAACAGCTTCCGTGTAAGCAGAAGTGAGAGAAACGTGTTTATTACATTTTAAATATGGATATTTTTCTTACAAAAATGCATGGAATCGTTACAGTAGGCATTTATTCATGCCCCGGAGCCGTGTGAGGCACATTTTGCTATGGATGCGCGCGCTTTATTTACCGTGTTTTGGACTGTTAAAGACAAACACCCACCCACTGCAATAATAACACTTGGAATAGCCAGGACAATTTTTAATATAACTCCAATTGGATTTGTCTGAAAGAAGAAAGTCATATACACCTAGGATGACTCGAGGGTGAGTAAAACACAGGCTAATTTTTATTTTTGGGTGACTTAACTAATCCTTTAAGAACTAAATTACCATTTGATGTGCCCACCCCTACTACTGTAACTACTAAAACAACAACAACAACATGTAAACTATACTATTTTCCAAAAAAATATATGTTTTTGTCTTAGACACATTTTCATCCTCACTTTAAAGGTATTGTTTTGATTCAGAGGTGGACCTGAATCAAACCAACTAAGGATAAAAAACATTTGTAATCCATCATCTCCTGTTGCAATATTACATTCAGGACTTCAACCAATCACTATAACTCTCTGCCAACGGATCAATAATAAAATTTGTCCAGGAAATGATGAGAGCAAGCCTTTATTGCTAGAGTCCAGCTCCAATAAATCTACATGACATTGATCCAGTCTCCAATAAAAAAATGCAGCTTTAAGCTGATTAGGATCAACACAAGCACCTGATTAGACTGCAGTACATCGGATATGCGTGTAATCCTGCAGTACAGTTATCTTCTAGGAGGATGCTCAGACGTCTCTAAGTTGTAAATAAGCCTAGCTCACTCACTACAGACCTGTAAGACTGAAAGGAAGTTTCCCAATCAAGCAGTCTGGATCGATAAAACCTAGTGGAGGTTTACTCACTTCATACAGTCGAGCCGGCTCTGGATGACTCGAGGGTGAGTAAAACACAGGCTAATTTTTATTTTTGGGTGACTTAACTAATCCTTTAAGAACTAAATTACCATTTGATGTGCCCACCCCTACTACTATAACTACTAAAACAACAACAACAACATGTAAACTATACTATTTTCCCAAAAAATATATGTTTTTGTCTTAAGACACATTTTCATCCTCACTTTAAAGGTATTGTTTTGATTCAGAGGTGGACCTGAAACAAACCAACTAAGGATAAAAAACATATTTGTAATCCATCATCTCCTGTTGCAATATTACATTCAGGACTCCAACCAATCACTATAACTCTCTGCCAACGGATCAATAATAAAATTTGTCCAGGAAATGATGAGAGCAAGCCTTTATTGCTAGAGTCCAGCTCCAATAAATCTACATGACATTGATCCAGTCTCCAATAAAAAAATGCAGCTTTAAGCTGATTAGGATCAACACAAGCACCTGATTAGACTGCAGTACATCGGATATGCGTGTAATCCTGCAGTACAGTTATCTTCTAGGAGGATGCTCAGACATCTCTAAGTTGTAAATAAGCCTAGCTCACTCACTACAGACCTGTAAGACTGAAAGGAAGTTTCCCAATCAAGCAGTCTGGATCGATAAAACCTAGTGGAGGTTTACTCACTTCATACAGTCGAGCCGGCTCTCCCGTGACGCTATGTGCAACGGTGAGTCTCCATGGATGTTGATGGCTTTGAGATCACACTTGGCATCCAGCAGGATCTCAGCTATCTCCACACAGCCAGAGAATGCTGCCCAGTGCAGACAGATATTTTCCTCCTAGAATCAAAGTTGACTTTATTAACTTTGATTGTAATAGATCAAATACACTGCATTTTCAAAAGTCTTCGTCATATAAACCTATGTAAAAACTGAAATTAGGACAGAAAGTAGACTACAAAATATTCTAAAACTGCAGATGCAATTTTGATATATTAAATTGCAGTTTCCAGAATACAAAACACAGCACACAGACCTTGTCTCGGATGTTGATATCAGCCCCTTTGGAGAGCAAGAGTTTTACTTGGTCTACATGTTTGTACTCCGTGGCCCAAATCATGGCTGTCCAACCTCCATCATCCTGGAACAAGAAATACAACTACATGTCAATCTTTTTGACTCCAATGGCTCCTATTGTTCACAACCATATTGAAAGCACCATTAGTACCATTTACTCACAATTTCTATGCAATAAAATACTATAATAGTAAAGTTTGGAATAACTTGAATAATGTATATGGATTACAAAAATGCCCATGGCGTTTTAAGATTTTATTAATTTGCATGGCTTTTCCAGGTCTAGAAACCACATTTAAAAAAAATAATTAAATGCAAATTAAATGCAAATCATTTTTAAGTCATCTTGAGGCCCTTGAGTTGAGAACTACTGGTATATACCTTCATTAAATCAATCATTAAATAATAATAATAATAATAATAATTATAAAGCTTTAAGGTTAAGATAAAACTTTTTAAATGGAAAAGTTATTTTGTTATGGTTATCAAAAGCCAAAGAAAAATGCAATAAGGTATTTTCTACTGTGGAATTTTTTAAATGACCAAAAAGAAAAAAAAAATCTACAAAAAAAAAAAAAAATTGGGAGGGCATCATTAACATGACTTGTAACATTTGAGGACTATTGGTGTAGTTATTTTGTGAAATTCCTGAGATACAGTGGGGCAAAAAATTGGCAGAGTCTAATGACTCAAATGATGGAAATCCCCAAAAACCATCTCACATTCTCAAAATATTTTTACAAATGTTAACTGTAACAGAAGGTCGAAACCTGGCAGTTAATATCTACAATTCCTGTAGACAGCAAATGTTGTACAATGCCGAAATGCCCAGTCTTAGCAGCAAGATGGAGACATGTTGAACCCTCAACATCCTGAAAAGAAAAGGAAACAGGATGTGATCAGTCTTCAAACAGAGCGAATGTTCATCAAAAAGCATTTGATTACAGAATGTTGTACTAAACAGACTGGCTTATCAACCCTCTTGCTCGTGGCTGCTGACCTTGTGAGAGACGATGGCTCCAGCTCTCAGAAGATAGCGCACTGTGTCAAGATTATCATTCTCACAGGCCTCCATAAGGGGCGTCCGCTGGTCCTCATCACACATGTCAAGGTTTGCACCAGCCTGAGGAATAAGATCATTGATTTTAATGACAACAAAGTCACTGAGGTTAAACTAGCTGTGACACATCTTGATAAGTCACAATAGTATATGCAAATGAGATCTGATAATTATTACAGAGTTCTCTTTTGTGTTTCAAAGAAGAAATAAAGTCATACAGGTTGAGGCATTTTGATGAAAATGGTGAAGTTGATACTAGTTCAATAGCAATTTGCCCTCACCTGGACCAGCATATGGCAGACTTCCTGATGACCTGCTTCAGCTGCTACATGGAGCGGTGTGCGTTTGTTTTGGCTCTCCATTTGAAAGTTAGGGTCTATCCCATCCACTGAGAATGAGAAAGGAGGTTTCCAGCACAACGCAGACAACCATGAATAAGACAACAACCTTATTCCTCTCTCTTACCCAACATCAGTAGGACCTTCTGCAGCTCTCCTTGTTTGGCAGAAATATACAGCTGTTTTGGGTGAAATCGAAGCTTTTTGGGTCTTGGAGAAAAAATGAAGAGTTGATAATGTTCATAAAGAGTTCATAATGATTGAACCCCATGTTAGTATGGATAATATGGCTAAATCAAAGGCCATAATTGGTTTCCTTACTTCTCTGCATCTAGAGCCAGCAGGACACTTTCCAGAGTTTCTTTAGGTGGTCCTGGTGGAAGTCCATTTCCAAATTCAGCTCCAAAAGGCCCAGTTTTCAAGTCCAAAGGGGACACAGATGTGTCCTGTGACTGTGTAGGTCTGGGTAAGGTGCTATCTGCTTTGCCCTCTCCAAGAACAGAGAGCCGAGTGGACCTTTAATGACCAACAAAACAATTACAATCCAAAAGTTGGAGAAACTAAACAAAAATGCTGATCCAGAATGTCCTACATAGGTACATAAATTAAACAGTTTGCCCATACCCTCCAGTGGTAGTGTCCGCTTTGCCCTCTGAGGTGCTGGGCGTGCAGGGGCCGTGGGTGAGAGGCACAGTAGACGTCGTATCGGCCTTGGCAATGGTGACCTCTTTCGCTTTGCTGACCTCCTCTCCGCAGTGTGGACAAAAGCTCTGACCGTTGAGCACCGAGGCACAGGCTCGATGAAACCGGTGGGAGATGTTCACCTCTGGCTGACACTCCATGAAGACACCCTACACGATGGCCACATGAAATACCTTTGAGTGTTTTGCTCAAATGTGGCTGAAGTAAAAACTCTGGAGCTTTTTCAGACACATGCACTCAGTCAAGAATTTCTTGGCCATTGGCTTGTCATGCTGAAACCCAATCAAAGACCTAAAAACGTTCGCTTGGGTAAAGCCAAAGACTCACGGCTCTGCAAAAGAAGCCACAGCCTGGGCAGCACTGATGTTTGACCATGCCCGTGCGATGGTCCTCACACAGAACCAGCAGTTGGACAGAGTTTGAAGGCCTCATCATCTCGTGCTTCAGCACTGCACTCTGACAACGGCTCAGCTACCCCCGGAACAACAGGGAACCAATTAGAATAGAGTTCAGAACCTCGACTTTTAAAAAGAGTAAAACGTGTATTGTAGCATGAAATAAGACATTACAGAAAAATATGCCAAGTATTCAGCGGTTAGATGAATCCTAGGACCTTAAGTACTGAACCGAATTATTCACCTCATTTCATTTCAAAAATTGGTACCCATATTCAGATTGTATATAGCAGGTGCTCTTAACTCTGGCCTTCAGGGTCCAGTTTTCTGCAGAGTTTAGCTCAAAGCACAATCAAACACACTTGAACAAGCCAATAAAAATATTCAGGATTACTAGAAAGGCAGGTTAGCTGGATCAGAAAATGAGGACCTCGAGATCTCAAAGCCGTCAAGGGCCAGAGTTGAGATAATGTATTCCTGAAAATGCAATCACTGTCACCATGACTGCTCTATATATTCACAAGGGTAACCATCTCACCTGACCATCAATGCTCTCAGTCGCCATACACTTCCTGTCCGCAAGCGTCAGAATCTCTCGGCTCTTGGGCATCTCCATTCGACAGCTGCAAAGGGGCAGTTCCTGCACCATGTCAGCGTCTGTGCTCTCCACTGACCCTGAAACAGCTGAGAAACACCATCTGTAAGACTCTAATAATCATGAAAGAGCTGAAAGACCATCATTTTGGAAACCAATGGCAGGAAATCAATGTTACTTCATAATGAGATGTATATCGATGATAAACATTGCACAGATAGCACACACTGCTTCAGGATTACTCTTCAACAGACATGACCACCAGGGGGCACAATATCAGTTGAGTCTTGATGACTAATTTTATCCAAGATGGAGGCCACCACAAAGGCCTTGCAGTAATCAAGCTCTGAACTTTCCACAAATGCGTCTTTCAAGATGCTGAGCTCGAACCCAATCAAATGGAATAGTCTGACACAAATTTGATTTGTAAGCAGATAAAGTAGCCAATTTCAACTAGCAAAAACTCGACTTGATTTAAAGAAATTAACAAACTGCAGCTTGAATAGAAGACAAATTTATATAGTATTTAACAAGAAACAGACTCCACTTTGCATTTCCTCATTCAGTCAAAAAGCAAACCATTGCATCATTCAATGCTTTCCCAAGTTAAATAGCAAAATATTCTTATAATAATAATAATCTAACCAATATGCCAAGGGATTTAATTTCACCTGTACTCTGAGATGACCGTAAGGCTTCCTGTGCCGCTAGATTGAGGGAGTCTAGTGGGACTTCTTTATACTCTTTCCTGTTGTCAAAAGGGGCTGATGGGGAGCTCTGGCTCTCAGATTGAGACTGGGACTCCATTCCTGGAGTTATGATGGAACAGACATAATGAGATTTGTAAATGAAACTCATTAACAGCCGAGTTGTTGCCCTACAGCAGATATTTGAGGAAAGCATGGATTTGAACATTTACTGTACCTGAAAGTCCTTCTGTTTTCGCTTTCGATTTCCTCTTGCGTTTCCTTGATGGTCGGAGCCAGGCGTGGTCCCCCTTGACTTTCTTTTTCCATTTCTTTTTCAAACTGGACTCTGAACTCTGAGGAGGACAGAAGAAACTTACAGTCCACAAACTGAAACAAAGCATTATCTCAGAAACCTCAAATCAAATCTGTGAAACTCACTGATCTCAAAGCATTTTATCCAAATGACTCTAGGTTATACACTGTGTTTTCTGATACTCTATGTTAGAGAATGTTTGGGGACTCACCATGTCTGATTCATCCCCTTCCTCTTCACCTTCGCCCTCTGGTGACTCCTCAGACTCCTGTTCTTCTTCAAGAGGCTTTTGGAATGGGCTGATGGGGAGCTCTGGCTCTCAGATTGAGACTGGGACTCCATTCCTGGAGTTATGATGGAACAGACATAATGAGATTTGTAAATGAAACTCATTAACAGCCGAGTTGTTGCCCTACAGCAGATATTTGAGGAAAGCATGGATTTTAACATTTACTGTACCTGAAAGTCCTTCTGTTTTCGCTTTCGATTTCCTCTTGCGTTTCCTTGATGGTCGGAGCCAGGCGTGGTCCCCCTTGACTTTCTTTTTCCATTTCTTTTTCAAACTGGACTCTGAACTCTGAGGAGGACAGAAGAAACTTACAGTCCACAAACTGAAACAAAGCATTATCTCAGAAACCTCAAATCAAATCTGTGAAACTCACTGATCTCAAAGCATTTTATCCAAATGACTCTAGGTTATACACTGTGTTTTCTGATACTCTATGTTAGAGAATGTTTGGGGACTCACCATGTCTGATTCATCCCCTTCCTCTTCACCTTCGCCCTCTGGTGACTCCTCAGACTCCTGTTCTTCTTCAAGAGGCTTTTGAATGAAAAATGAACAAATTAACAGGGGAATGTAATGTGTAGACGTTACTGTACTTGTTCACAGATTCAGTGAACAAGCCGTTTGGCCCCAAAAAATTCAGGAAATAACTGACAAGAATGGATGAGATCATTTTTCCATTGGCTCATGAGTTTTGTTGCTCAATTCCCACCTGAGAAACTGAAGCTATCTTGGGTCCCTCCTGAGAGGCTTTGGCTCCATCCTCTCTGACCAGCTCCTCATCCTCCTCCGTGTCTTCTCCTTCCTCTGACTCTTCTTCTTCAGACTCATTCTCCATTCTCTCGCCATTCACATGCACGGATTCCTTTGACAGCTGTGAAGCCAAGGAATAAAAAGGCTGGCATTAGATGTCAACGTTCACATGCCTTGGCTTTAAGAAGTACAGAAAAATTTAACCAATTAGCAATGCAAAACTATTAAGATAAGGATACTTACGGTCAAAACTCAGACTAAGCAACTACTCAAAGATTATTTTCACAACACAACATAAAACATTAGTTTTTTCACTCTTTAGGTGTGAATCTGGAGGTCCGATCTCTGACCTGAGGGTTGGGTGGAGACTGGGACATACGCTGAAACATCTCCAGAACTGTGCGTTGTTTCAAGACTTTATTTTTCTTCTTGGGCACAAGACTGTAAGTTCCCATCTTTCTTTTCTTCTTCCTTGACACGGCTGCTACTGAGGGAGAGACAGGTCTGGGTTCAACTGTCAATGCATAAAGAGAGAATTCTGGTATACAGGCCTGTTTTCAAGCACTTGATTCTTTGTAAAAGCAATGTGATCATTTTTATGAAAAACTGTAAAACATACTGTAGGTCAAATTATCTGCATTTCAATTTGAACTTGAACCATGTTTGACAATGTCAATATAATTGATGAACTTGTTGCTGCCAATTTGGCCATCAAAAGTTCTTCAACAAACACAATGTGTAAGCTAATTACAATTTTACCAGACATTTCCATTTGTCCACTATTTTCAGTCAAAAATAAAAGTTGAGACAGTTGCTGAGTTAAGTTTACAAAGATATTTTGTAAATGTAATATATAATCTGGCAGTGCCTAAAATACATTTATACAGTGGTGCCAAAATTATTAAAACACCTCACAGATCTGAAAATATTGAGCTTTTTTGCCTCCAAAACATGATTTAATTTCATAATGTTCATGAAACATGCAGATGGTTGCTCTGAGCACAAATATCAGATGAAGTGAGTCATACTGTTTTTATCCACTTTTAACTTTAATATTTGGTATGTCCACCTTTTGCAGCAATACCAGCAGCACATTTCTCTGGCATAGTGTCAGTATATTTCCTGAGAACTTCAACACTAATGTTATTCCATGCCTTCTGCAACTCAAGCCAAAGAGTAGAGTAAAGCCTCGATGGGGTTGAGGTCCGGACTTTGAGGGGGCCAGTCCATCATTTTCAATGTTCCAGCAGATTCCTTCTGTCGCAGGTAGTTCTGGCAATAGTTTGTTTATGGGTATTGTAATGGCCAATTCAACAAAAACAACTGAAACCTCTTAAATATGCCAAGTGTTCTAATAATTTTGGCCACCACTGTATACTGCATACTTAATTTTAAAATGTAATAATTTTATTACACTAAAACAAACAGTATGAAAAACACATTGACTTGCTAAAGATTCAATTAATTAATATTAAATTATAATATTAAGTGATTTAAAAAATAATTTGTGGAAATAAGCACAATGAAGTATCCAACAACCAGCATAAATCAATCCAGTATAGATAAATAATAAAAAAAAAAACTTTAATAACAATACATTGTTATTACAGATACAGATATATATATAGATATATGTAAATAGAATACCACATCAAAACAGCTTTAGAGCAATCAGTTTTGTTGGACGCAAGTAAAGGTAATACAGTGTATAACCTGTTTGTGGCTTGGCTGGTGTGGTGTTCAGTATAGATGTGGCATCAGTTTGGCTTTGAGGTAGCTGACTCTGGATTGGAGATGGCTGAGGCTGCACTGTCTCTGGTTTGCCCAGACTGTCATCTTTCACCACGACTGGCTCCTTATTTTCCCTATTCAAAAGCTGAAGGAGGAACAGAAATGCGATTATATGTATCCATGACCATGATTCATGAGCAGACCTAAAAAAAAAGACCAAAACACGGCATTGTGGGATGTTCAGTGTTGACGTCATGACTAGTGCAGCTGATGTAGAAGAATGTTTCACTGCGGTAGATCCTCATTACCTTTAGTGACTGGTTTGAGGCCGGCCTTGACATAGTTTTGCGTGCGCGATGTATCGTTGGTGGAGGTGTATTCGATACTATGCCGTTTTTAGTCTCTGTGTCCGCTTGTCTCTCTATTGGGTTCGGTCCTGGGCTTGCAGTACTGTTTGAAGAACCCTGGTCAGGGGGTCGCAATGTAGAAGCTGAAGTTGGCGAGCTTTTAGTCCCATGCCCCAATGTGGAACCCCCTACGGGGGACCAGTTAGTCCTATGTGGGGCTGACACTGTGTCTTCCTGCTGTTTGCTTAGAATATATCCATTACTGCCCACTGTAGAGCCATGGGGCGGCTCAGTCTCTGACAGTCCATTCTCCATGGTTGAGGATCGGGCTGGTGACCCTGCAGAGAGGTTCTGTTCAGTTCTCTTTGTGTCCGTGTTTTCATAGGTCCCATTCAGCTCATTGGCCTCTTTGAGAGGGTTGGCTTGCCCGTTCGAGTGATCTTCATCTCCTCCTATAAGAAAAATAACAGAAAAAGTTACGGGATTGTTTCAGGTTCAAAGCAACTTGGCACAACATACCATTAAAAATAAAGCAAAAAATTGTGCTTAGAGTAAAATGGAAGTAACCAGTGCTAGAGACCAGAAGGTCAATATTTTTAAAGCTAATGTGTTTTGTTAAACACTTAATTAATAAATTAATACTTCTGGAGAAAAAAAATAATAGCTTTAAGAAGTACAGAAAAATTTAACCAATTAGCAATGCAAAACTATTAAGATAAGGATACTTACGGTCAAAACTCAGACTAAGCAACTACTCAAAGATTATTTTCACAACACAACATAAAACATTAGTTTTTTCACTCTTTTGGTGTGAATCTGGAGGTCCGATCTCTGACCTGAGGGTTGGGTGGAGACTGGGACATACGCTGAAACATCTCCAGAACTGTGCGTTGTTTCAAGACTTTATTTTTCTTCTTGGGCACAAGACTGTAAGTTCCCATCTTTCTTTTCTTCTTCCTTGACACGGCTGCTACTGAGGGAGAGACAGGTCTGGGTTCAACTGTCAATGCATAAAGAGAGAATTCTGGTATACAGGCCTGTTTTCAAGCACTTGATTCTTTGTAAAAGCAATGTGATCATTTTTATGAAAAACTGTAAAACATACTGTAGGTCAAATTATCTGCATTTCAATTTGAACTTGAACCATGTTTGACAATGTCAATATAATTGATGAACTTGTTGCTGCCAATTTGGCCATCAAAAGTTCTTCAACAAACACAATGTGTAAGCTAATTACAATTTTACCAGACATTTCCATTTGTCCACTATTTTCAGTCAAAAATAAAAGTTGAGACAGTTGCTGAGTTAAGTTTACAAAGATATTTTGTAAATGTAATATATAATCTGGCAGTGCCTAAAATACATTTATACAGTGGTGCCAAAATTATTAAAACACCTCACAGATCTGAAAATATTGAGCTTTTTTGCCTCCAAAACATGATTTAATTTCATAATGTTCATGAAACATGCAGATGGTTGCTCTGAGCACAAATATCAGATGAAGTGAGTCATACTGTTTTTATCCACTTTTAACTTTAATATTTGGTATGTCCACCTTTTGCAGCAATACCAGCAGCACATTTCTCTGGCATAGTGTCAGTATATTTCCTGAGAACTTCAACACTAATGTTATTCCATGCCTTCTGCAACTCAAGCCAAAGAGTAGAGTAAAGCCTCGATGGGGTTGAGGTCCGGACTTTGAGGGGGCCAGTCCATCATTTTCAATGTTCCAGCAGATTCCTTCTGTCGCAGGTAGTTCTGGCAATAGTTTGTTTATGGGTATTGTAATGGCCAATTCAACAAAAACAACTGAAACCTCTTAAATATGCCAAGTGTTCTAATAATTTTGGCCACCACTGTATACTGCATACTTAATTTTAAAATGTAATAATTTTATTACACTAAAACAAACCGTATACAATTTTATAACACTAAAACAAACAGTATGAAAAACACATTGACTTGCTAAAGATTCAATTAATTAATATTAAATTATAATATTAAGTGATTTAAAAAATAATTTGTGGAAATGAGCACAATGAAGTATCCAACAACCAGCATAAATCAATCCAGTATAGATAAATAATAAAAAAAAAAACTTTAATAACAATACATTGTTATTACAGATACAGATATATATATAGATATATGTAAATAGAATACCA